CCGTGCTTTCTGTAAGTCAATTAGCTACTTGCCCTTTGTCAGCTTGTGTTATTAGATGCCTCTAGGATCCTATTCAACGATGAGATCCATTACGGAAAGCTTGAAACCCCTTTTAAAAAATAGCAGAAAGGAAAAAAGGCCCGAAGGCTAGTTTTTCCAGGATAGCAGATCTGATTCCAATTCATCTTATATGTTGTCTTTCTAAGTGGGGAGGACATGCTCCACTTCCCTTTAACTGGATTCCCTTTTCTACCTTAGGTATATCTTTTGATCTTAATACACTGAGCTCATAACGACCTCAGAAAGTAGCAACAGGGTGGCTTTAGACTCCGTATGTCAACGTTTTAATGAAGCATTTTGATGATGCCCTCTTAAGGCCTGGTGGATGCGGCCCATGTAAAATGCAAATGAGATGAGGATCTGGTCTCAGCTCCAAGTTCATGTTAAGATGTAGTCTGTTCTGCCCCGTGGGATGGAACTCTGCATACATTAAGGAATGGCAGCTGGAGAGCTCACGGGCCTCTGAGCACAGCCACACGGCCAAAGGATGGCAAGGTTCTGCCAGGACTCAGTGCTCAGAGAAATGCTGCCTCATTCAAGCCCCTGCTACATCTTATTGTAGACTCTGGGAATCTAACAAGCTCCAACGGACTGTCCTATCTGCACGGATATGGAAAAGCGATTCACCTCCATTTTTATAATAGTTCTATTTTTGCATACAAGAAGAGCAGTGGAGAGCCGGAATGGCTAAAACACCCACGTACACAGTTGATCAGTAAGCCAGCCATCACTGCTGGAAGTGTTGGGGTCTATTTGTATCTATTTTCTTCCTTTTTAAGTTGGTTCATACTTACTTGGCAGTGTCCTGAGCAGAATTCTGAACTCTTGGTAGTCCCAATACTCCAATACTAGAATTTATTTTGGGGCACTCTGGCACACTCCCTCACAGGACCTAGTCTAGTGATCCTGTCCAACAGTTGAGGTTTTTGTTGTTGTTTTGTTTTGTTTTGTTTTGTTTAGCACATTGACAAATTGTAAGTACTAGGAGCCGGAGTTGGCTGCTCTTCCAGAGGACTGGGGTTTCATTTCCACCATCCACCATGCGGTACCAGCCATACATACAGGCGAATACCCATACACATAAAATTAACACGTAAAAAAAAATGTAAATACCGGGAAGTAATCCTATAATAACATCTTTTTAACATACACATACATATATAGTAATAGACAGCGATCCTAATATAGATGGCCAACATTTTCCTATAAACTGGAATGCAAGCCCTATTTGAAACGCATTATCCTCTTAAGAACGCCGTGTGGCATGCTGTAGCATTTTATCTAATTTGTTTTGGGACAGGGTTTCGTGCCCTGTGTTATCTGGCCTCTGAAGGCACGCATAATAACGTAAATGGGAAAAAATAAAATAGCAATGGAGTAGTCCTCCACAGTATCCTTCGGAGCGGTCCCTTCCTCCCGGCTCAAGTCCTGAGTTCTGTGTCCTCTCTGCGCTTTACTGCAGCCTGTGCTGTTTGTCTCGAGACTACAGCACTCTGTTTTCTTTTCTCTGGGTGTCACATCGATGGTGTCTTGTACCACATAAAATACATCATCAGGCGTTTTATTATTGCTGTCCCTTATTTTTTTTTTTTCTGTTACATCTGAATGTGTGTGAACTGTTCTTCGCTCCTTTTTCCTAATTTCCCCCTCATCATTATATGCGAGTAGTACTATTAGGACATTATCGAATGTATGTACAACTGAGCCACGTGTGACTGCTTCTTAAGATTCTCTTGAGTGAACGCTGAGGCATGGTTCCAGAAGTGGAACCTTTGTGTCAATCAGTGCTATCAGATTATCTGCCAATGATTCTTTTTTTGGCGGGGGGCGGGGGGGAGCAGGGTCTCAATATGCAGTCATGACTGGCCTCGAACTCTCTATGTGACCTCAAGCCCAGAGATATCCACCTGATATGGATCAGTTCTAGCAACTGAAATGTCTGTGTGTTTTGTGACTCATACTTTCTGTGAAATACCCAGCATTTAGCCTTTCACTGTTAACTGTTTATGTTTTAATGGGGACGTTAGACTTCTTTATATCTAATTGATATTTTCGAATTCTTGAAATAGTTTTTATTCTAAATCCTTACTAATTATACGTGCATCAACATCTTCTGTCTGCCACTTTTCTACCCTTTCCCACTTTCATTTTGCAACATTAATTTACTTTAATTTCTCTGGTTTATGTTTAAATAGATTTAAACCTCTCGTTCTTTTGAGTTTTAAAAAGCGTTTGAGGATTGACCCACGTGGAACTGATATTATTGTAGAAGAGATGACATCAATCAACTATTTATTGTGTGACACTGATTTATGATGATTATTATACATTAAAATGTTGCTTATTTGGCTGTTTCTGACCTTTATTCTTTGCCACATTAAATACAATTAGTTTGACAATGCTTGCCCCCAATCCATAGTCTGTCTATTGTTATCTTCATAGCTGCTCTGTTGAACTTTCACGGACCATCTCAGGAAAGGCATTCATTTTGTTATCAAATGGTTTCTGGAGTGCTGTAATACAAATAAGACAAGACCAAGCTTCTAGATTCTCCATTTTCTCATGGTCAGGAGGAACAGCCAAAGGCTCCCACGATCAAAGTGTGAGTGGCAATTGGTTTGGTACCAGTGAAGAACTGTAGTGCTTGACATGATGGCCTCTCCTTTTCCCTTTCCAGCCGGAGTCTTGCCACATGGCCCAGACTGGGCTTCAAGTGATCCTTCTGCCTAACTCAGTTGTGAGTGGGATTACAGCCGTGGGCTCCAGAGCCAGCTGAGTGTTCACAGGGGCCCGCAAGGGCTTGCTGTAGTAAGTCTCTCCAAGCCAACGTGCCCTGGATCCACAAAGCATGTTGAAGCAATTCTCCATCTGTCTGTCCAACACGAAGAACCACCAGCTTTCCCCCACAGTATCATTACTCCTGTCTCAAGAGATCTTCCTTCTAAGAGCATCGAGAACACGAACAAGGTGAGGGCCTTCGGAGTCCTTGTCCTTCTAACCTTGGCTGCTGTTGAATTGAGAGAGCTGGCTCCCAGCTAGGAAGCAGAGTTGGATCTGGATAATGTGTTACCGCTAAGTCGGGGCTGGTGATTTCCAGCTCATGGAGAGGGTAGGGAGGTGTGGAGGTGGGGTGTGTTAGGAGAGGGTACAGAGGAGTTCTGGCTGGGGCTGACACCGTCACATCCCAGCTTCCATTTCAGCAAGCATCTACATAGTTGAAACCCAACATAAGGAGAGCTGTTTTTGTTTTTGTTTTTTGTTTGTTTGTTTGTTTTCTGTTTGGTTTGTTTTTTCCAGACAGGGTTTCTCTCTGTAGCCTTGGCTGCCCTGGAACTCACTTTGTAGACCAGGCTGATATTGAACTCACAGGGATCTACTTGCCTATGCCTCCCTGAGTGCTGGGAGTTTTGAAAACTGGACACATTAAAAAACTGGACATTTTACAGGCAAGCGAGTGGGAGCTGTTAGGAGCTATTGACTTCTTCAGACAGAACTGTGTTCAGTTTGCTCCGATTCTCAGTACAATGCTTGGCACCTGGATTTTGTACCTATCAAGCCATCCTACGTTTGTTTGTTTATTCACTTTATAACTGGACTGTAGTAAACTCCCTCCTCTCCTCCTGGTTCCATCCTCCTTCCCTCTTCAACCTATCCCTGGTCCCCTACTCCTCAGAAAAGGGGAACCCCTCAACCCACCCCAACACATCAAATCGCATCAAGACTGAGTGCATCCTCTTCTCTTACTACAGCAAGGCAGTTACTACCTTGGATAAAACCAACGAGTGGGGGAGGAAGGCTTTGTGATCTAGATTAGGGTTCAAAAATTTAGTCCTCAGAGCCTAAAAAAAGTAAATGGAAAAAAAGAAGCCAATTCAATATGGCAGAGATAAAAATATTTTTCATTTCAAGAAAAAAAACATTCCTCAATTACACAGAGTAACCCTTGTTGGTTGTGAAACGCATTCCACTTGCAGGGCTTTCATTGGGACAATTATATTTTTTAAAGATTTATTTGTAACGACGTGTGTCTCCCTGTAGGCACATGCATAAGGGTGCGGGTACTTGCGGAGGCCAGAAGGGGGCGTCTGATCACCTAGAACTGCAGTTACAGTGGCGAGCTGCCTGACATGGGTGTTAGGAACTGAACTTGGGTTACCTGCAAGAGCTGTGCCCGCTCCTAACTAGGACGCCATCTCTCCAGCTTCAACAACTGCACTGTTTCTCTGGTAACTATGAGCACTCTTCTACTCAAGGAAAACAATTCCTCGTGGAAATGGCAAATGGCAGCGACGACAACTAACTGCCCACCAGATGTTGCAAAAAGCAGGATCCCACACAAACTGCAGTAGCGAGTGTAATTCCGCACCCTAAGGCAATGGAAAGTTTCGAGGCATTTTCTTGCTGTTGCCATCCCTACAAACACGGGGCTGAGGACAAGGCAAAGCATACAAGAGCTTTCGAAAGAAGGGGCAGTGCCAACAGTGTCACCACCTCACTGCAACTGCTCCGGCCCAGTTCTCTGGGCATGAGGAAAAGGCCCTTTGTGAGGTCAAACGCGAGTATGGTGAGGGGTGATACCGAGGAGCCGAGGGGCACGTGACAGCGGGCACTGACCCCAGTGGGCTAGCCCTGTTCTGTCCTGGTGGGTGCCGAGCACTGAGTGTTAGTTGGTTGTTTCTAGAGGCTTCCATAGGCACCTCGATGATCTCTCTTGGTCCCTGTTTATCTAATTTCAAGGAGTCAAAACCTTCCCTGGAGGGGCGGTTCCACAGTAACCCCAACGATCAGCTGGTAGGTCTGATTTTTCACAAATAGATGGCCTTGAGTGTGCATTTCCGACATCAGTTTACAACGTAGCCCTGAGCAGAGAGCCGTAAGAACCTCTGCTCCCCAAAAAAGAATTACCTCACCCTTACAGAAAGAAAAAAAGCAACACCAAGTCAATTTGAGTATTTTATTTATAAATGTACATTTACTATAAAAGCTGTTGCATTTTAGACAACTTTTCATTTTTTAAATTTTTTAAACTATTTCTCAGAGGCATTTTAGAATAAATATTGTAAATGAAAGTTAGTGTAATGGATACGGGATGTCGCCCACCCAGAACAAGGGCATCTTTTGGATGTACAGGTAATTAGAGTATGTATCATGTTAGTGACACCACACCGGAAGAAGGACAAATGTCGTGAAGGTTTGCTAGTGAGAAACAGAGTCGCCCATTTTTGTCCTTGGGAAAGAAGCTTCTGGAGTCTGGGGGTGGGGGGAGAGTCAGCCAAAGTCCTCCAGGAGCAATAAATCACTCACTTGCCTCATCTGGGTTTTAAACAAACACATTTACATTGTAACTCCGCACAACAGAGCACTGTTTCCCCTGGAATCTCAAAGATTATTTGAAGAGAAATAGATCATAGTCTTTTATGCTGCGTTGGACAAAAAAAAAAAAAAAAGACGAAACCTAGTCTGCCGAAGCTGCCATGTAACTGGCTCTAAATGAAATATAAATCAAATAGAAATAGAAACAGTTGGCAATTAGAATTTGGAAGATGTTGGAGATTATTCCGGGCTGGTGACTAGTGTTCATTACGGGAAAGCATGTTCTGCACTTGGAGAATGGGGTTTTATTTCTCTTGACTCCAGTCTAAGCTTCAATGAGTCTCACTAAGAAATATGTATAAATGGCTTTGTGAAACCAGAAGAATGTGCAGTTCTCATGTGCTCCTGACATAACGGATGGCCTCGCACATGTAAAAAGTATCCTATAAAAGTCGCTTATGAATGACCGGATTGTACATATTTTGTGCATCATTTCTTGTAAAGTACTTAGTTAGTATCATGCAAAGTGTAAACATCCACGTTATTAAAATAGTTAATAAAACATGCAGGTGCTTCATCAAAATATTGGACTTGATCTGTACATTTTCAAAACTTTTCTTTTACTTTTTAATTTTTTTTCCTTTTTTTTATTTGTCTTTTAAATTTTTTTAATTAATTTTTTTTTTTTCTCGTAAAGCAGCGAACACCTCCGAGAGGAGTCACGGGGGACTAGGAAGTGACTTCATCTCCCTTCGGCGTTCGGAATCTGCCGTTTGCCACTGTGTGCAACAGCTCTGCAGTTTTCTAAGGCACAATTTTTGATGAAATGGTGTGTGAATTTCAATCCAGTAACAGCTCGTCCAAATGACAAAGTGGCCAATGTACCTCCAAGTGGCCACGGAGATGTCTGCACCTGTAAGGGACCCACATGCAAAGAACCGTCTAGCATGGAAATAAATAATTGCTAGCCATACTCCATAAGACACAGAAAAAAAATTATTGCTTACATAACAGAAAAACGTCTACTTGCTTTCTGTCTATACTACATTAGCCTACTTCGAGGGTATCCATAGTCTACATTTCCCTAATGCCATCTTCACTTAGTTGCCATTCTTTTAAGGCAGAATAAATAGTTCCCCTACCTCTTCCCTCCCCCCACCCCCCGTCTTAAGGAAAACAGCCTGGAGAGCTAAATCGTGCTGGTTTAGCAACTTCATTCCTTTCATGTCCAGCTGAAACATATCACATGGGGCAGAGAACAAACCAGGTCTCCGCCGGCAACGTGGGAGGATGGAGCGGCGCACAGGTCTGTGGGAGCGGGCAGGGCATGGCCTGCCTTGTGTTGGTGCCACTTACTGATCAGGCTGCATTGCGGGCTTGTCACGTCCTGCTCTCGGGGTTCTGTTAGGACGGGCCTAATGCATTTCTTGGGATGCCCGGGCGTCAGTCCCTCAAGGAGAACTTGCAGGCAAAGATGAGACGTGCTCATTCCAAAAAAAAACAAAAACAAAACAAAAAAAAAAAATGGACTGTTCTCAATGCCTAATACCTACATCCTCAATCAAGCCCCCAATGCTTGCAGAGAGCAAGCAACCCAAGCCTCAAGGCTACCGCTGGCACACCACCCTTGTGGATTACACCTTCCCATAGGTTTTATAATAAGTTTGAAGACAATGGCTGATCTATTTCCTTCCTGCTTCTTCCTACCCTTGTCGCAGAGTGGAAGTCTAGAGACACTGCAAGGGCCCTCTCCATTTGACGGACCAGCCTCTATGCATGACATGACTTCCAGGGTACACAAAATCTAATACTAACAGTGTGATAATTTATTGGTAGGACTTCTGCCCCCAAAGGTAAGTAACACAAATGTTTTCAGGAGTACAGTATATATTATCAGGCTAGTGTCTTTGCATTAAAAAAAAAAAAAAAAGTTATAGTTCAGAGTCAGAGCTTGCTGGTGTGTGTGTGTGTGTGTGTGTGTGTGTGTGTTTTCTGAAATGCATTCACTTGATGTTCCTGTCTTAAATTGGCATTGTCTTGCACTTCCTGCAGCTCACTTCTGTAAACATAACATGTCTAATTTCTAGAAATACTAAAACGCAACAGGTTTATTGCACCCTTTTGCTATTTTCCCAAACAAGAGAGTAACGCCTTTTCAACCACAAGCCTTTCTGCCCATGCTAAAACTGTTAACTGTTCAGGATCATTGCAATGCAATATTCTTTTTGTGTACACTGTGCAAATGCAGAAAAAGAAAATCAGCCTCCCAATCAGAAGAAGCACAAACATTGTGCTACGATACAAAAAGAGCAGATCCACCGTGTGGAAGAGTCCTCCAGAAATCAGATGAATGCTGAGAAGCCCCTGAACTTGGGGTTTAATTAAGCCATTGCCAAGGGACACCCTTCATAAGGAAATTCTAGGTGATCCGGAAGCTCCCAACCGCGTCACAGTGTCGTAGGTTGACCAGCACCTGTGGTGAGAAAAACAGCAGTTTGGGTTGGTCAATGTGCGTTTCCAAACCTCTTGCCGGAAGTTTCTTCCCCACAGGAAGGGGTGCCCTGGCCTGCCTTGATGCTTTTAGCGTCCCCTCAGGGCATGGAATTCGGCATCACAGGGGACTTTGTCAGAACACAGAGTGGTGAGCAGATCAGTCCCACGCGCCCAGGTGTGCAGCTGGTCCCTAAGCATTACGCCTGATGCAAGGGCCTCCTCTCAAGATTTTTAATCTGTCCTTTGGAACGCATAAGCAAGAAGAGGATGGTTTTTTTTTTTTTTTTTCTTCTTGAGCTCTTGGGGCATGGAATCAGTCCACTGACACTGGAGGAATATAAGTGATCTAAAAACCCTATTGCGAGGTTGAGCAAGTAAAAATACAGAGAGCACCTAATCAATCTGAATATCATTTTAAGCATGTAACTTTAACCCATTTGCTATTTGGGACACACTTGCGCTAAATCTGGAACGTACACATATTGAAAAGATCGATTATAGATCTGAAATCCAAATGTGAAACTTACTGTTTAGCTGGGTGTGCCGGTGCATGCTTGCAAACTCAGCACATGGGAGGTGGAAACAGGAGAATCAGCCTTGGCTACCCAGTGATTTTGAAGCCAATCTGTACTACAGTGTGAGTTCGACTATCTTAGTTTGACTATCTCAAACCAAGCTACTAGTACCACCACCAACCACCATACAAAATAGGGCAAAGGAGATAGGCCAGTCTGGTCCTTAGACCCCAGGTGAATATGTTTATGATGATGGTACACACTTGTAATTTCAGCACTGGGAAAGCAAAGAGTGCTGGAGTAAGTAGGCTTACTGGCCAGGCAGCCTACACACATGTGCACATGAATAAACACATTGTGTAGGACAAACAGAGTCACCACTCCTGGCTTCAATATTCATTTAAAAATGCACACACATGCCAAAAACAAACAAACAAACAAACAAACAACAGCAACAACAAAAACTCATGGGTTATTGTAAAATTCAAATTTGAAACATCTCATCGAACGTCTTGTGTTCTATCTTGTCACCCAACCTAAGAAGGTTGAGTTCCCAGTTCTTGCTGGAGCTGTCACAAGTTTCGTGTTCATTTTAGACGCTGCAGCCATGATGAGATGGACACACTGGAGAAGACCCCAGGGGAGTTAGCGCTAAGTGCATCTCACCACAGTGAATGATGGAACAGAACATCACCCAGTGCCCAAGCACAAATGGCACTAGTTAAACATGTGATGGCTTGAATCCTGATGGGCAATTTGCTTTGCACTTCCACTCCCATTTACATATGAACTTAAAATCTCCTTATGTGGCTTTTAGGAATTGCATTTGAATATGCTTTATGCCATTTTTCCCCCTCTAACAGAAAAAAAAAAAAAAGTTCATTTAAATGTGACTAGTTACTTTTAAAAAAAAAAAAAAAAAAAAAAAAAAAAACAACCCAGAATTTAAATATTCAGGTTTTTATTATTCCACATAACAAAGTGATTTTTTTTTTTTTTTTTGCTTCTTTGGAACACCTCTGATGTAAACTATATTTTCCATCAATCTACCAACTCTCCTCTCAATTCAAAGCAGAAGTTTCAAAGAAGAAAAATCCCTTCCAGCCATCTCCTCTCATGCTGCTTGCAACTGGGGAGACAGTCAGCCTGTCAAATATGCTTACAGTTCTTCAGCTAAATGACTCTGACTTCACCATACCACTCCTGAGTGCATTCTTTCTTAAGATATCAAGAAAGAAAAGGAATATTTTCATGTACCCTGGTCACTCTGTCATGTGTTCACTTAATTAAAATTAGCCTAAAATGATCCTAACATTTGTCTGAAAAAACAAATATGGGAAAGAGCTTAAAAAACTTTTGGAAAAAAGAAAAAGTAACAGGAGCATATATGTGGCTATTACTGGCCAAACTTAAAACATATTATGAAGCTACAACAATTAAAACCACTCCTAGTGGAAAAGGAGTACATGAAAAACACAATCTTATATCCAGAAGCCCAAAATATACATGGGAACTCATGGGAAAGCTAGCACTTCATATTAGAAGAAGTGATCATTAAATGATATTCACATCATTGGCTAACTCACCTGAAACCTGCCTAATTTTTATCCCCAAATATATTCCCGAGGCTCACACACTTACAGACTGAAAACAACTTGATGAGAACTCTCAGCTCATCTTATTTATACCTGTGGAATAGAAAGTGTTGTTTTCTCTGAGTGGGACATAAGGCCCCGATTTTTAAAAAGGCAAAGAATTTACATAATTATTGAAAATGAAAGTCTTTTGCATGAAAATAAATCACAAAGTTAAAAAAAAAAAAAGGCGAACCTCAGCATGCAGCAAACATAACAGTCTTTAACTTGCAAAGCACTTCAGCAGATCAAATCCCAAGAGGAGGGACAGAGGACACAGAACCACATCACAGAAAAACAAACACCAATGGAGAAAGAACACGGAGAGAAGTTCAAATTCAGAAATGAAACCACACCTCTCGGGGCTAAGGAAGAGCGTCAGTTGGTAAAACATGGAAGAATGAAGTTCAGAGCTTGGATGCCCCGTCCCCATGTAGACGCCAGACATGGTAGTCCATGCCAACAGTGGGGCGCGGGTGAGGACAGGTGGATCTGTGGAGTCTGCTGGCCAGTCAGGCTAGCTGAAGCAGTGGACTCACAGCACAGGGAGGGACCCTGCCTCAAAAACCAGAGCGAGGTGGGACCGTGGAAGATACCCGCTGTTGATCTTTAGTCCCTACTCACACACGTGTGAGCATCTTTACACCACACTCACTCACCCTCCACATATCTAAGGATATAAGCTTCTCCCTACCTAGCAGAGTGTTTCCCCCCCTCTTTTCCTTCTGTTTGTCAGTGCTCAGAATGAAATCCTGGTTCTCCCGCACACAATCAAGTGCTCTTCCCGGAGCTTTGCCTACAGCCCAAGGGTGACATTGTAACAGATGATGATCTGATCTGCACAGTTGCCATCAGCAGAGGAGGAGGAAGAGGCTCGCCCACCCGCTCTGCAGGGAGGATTCACTCATTTCTGGACAACAACCAGGCACCTAACATGTCTGAAGTTGTGAAAAGCTCACAGCTTTTTAGAAACACAATATGGCTCCTGCTCAGTATCTACCCACTGGAGATGGTTTCACACCTTCATCCAGATATATGCAAGGATTCACGGAAGTATTTGATGAATACTACTCTGGAGTGTTCGCCCGGGAGAAAGAGCACGGCAGTGCTGACGAGGTATTAAGTTGAGCTGTATCAAAATCTCCGTACTGATGTGAAGCCCAACACACAGGTAGCTAGACACAGCGTGTGTGCAAGCCAGTGCAAAGTCTGCAAACATCCATTCCACTCCTGCCCCAAAGAAACCTCAGACAAGGAATGACCTCAGAGAGATTTTTATTCCAATTGAGTATGCTACCAATTCAAAATTTCTAACCCTGCGGGATTCTAATGTTTATCTGTTCATTCTTTTGCATGTTTACAGAGGTATACACGGAGAGACACTGAGCAGAGAGATGAGTGGGCCCTTTTGCTTTCTTCTTAGTATTTCTTAACATTCTAGAAAACACATAAAATAGTCTGTTTTGAGGAAAGATAATGATCCCCCTCCATTGTGTGTGTGTGTGTGTGTGTGTGTGTGTGTGTGTGTGTGTGTGAAAATGATGAAGGTACAGGATCTGCATGTACGAAAATGGTATAAAGAAACCCAGAATTTGGTACAATGAATATGTGCTAATAAAAAAGAAAAACAAACAAACAAACAAACAAACAAAACAAAACAAAACCTCTCATGAACAAGAAAAAAAAAAAAAAACAAAACTCATCTGTAGTCTACTTTCAAATAGCTTTCTTATTACAAGAACTGTTCCAGGAATTCTCTGACTCCTGTCTTTAGTTGTAATTAAAAACAGTTAATGCCCTTTACATTTGCACACGTAACAGAAGTTCCTAGCCTACAGCCAGAAACCTAACTCCAAAAGAAATGGCAACAAATCACCAACTTCCGAAAAGCCTGCATGAAAACAGGCCGCTGGGCCCCAGGGGAGCAGTTCAGGCTTGCTGGCATCTTTTGAGCATGCTCAGTTACCAAAGAAATTCAGAACCCCGGCGCTATCCGCAGCGGCCATAACGGTCCCTCATTCTAACAGCGCCCCCTGCTGGGGCAATGCTCGCCATCCAGCTGCTTGCTGAGGTTAGAACAGAGTGCGATCTATGGCAAATGACAGAGGGAGAGAATCACTTTGCAACCTGGGAGAAAGGGGGCTTATTTTCTCTCCCCAAGCCACAAAAAACAAAACACAAAAGCCCAGTTAAAGACACAATTATTAGACACTACGCGTATATGCATGCGTTTGTATACTGAGGCATGGACGTTTATGAGGTGTGCAGAATATGACTCAAGCACCTCATACAGACATACAAGGACACCACAGTCCCGCTATGTGATGATAACTCCACCCGAAACTGTATGACCTCAAAGGTTTACCACAGATCCAAAAAAAAAAAAAAAAAAAAACCTGCATTTGATTTTTTTGTTTGGTTTCACCTCATTTTACTAACAGGCATATATTCCTCCGTACGCCCTAATGCACTGAATCTGTAGCTGTAGAAGAAAAACAATTTAATTTTGTTTTTTATTCTTATTCTCCAATCCAGAAGCCAGTGATACAATTCTTTCAATTCTTTCACATACTCTGACTTTTTTTTTTTTTTTTTTTTTTTTAGCATAACTGGTGAATTTGCATTAAAAAGTCTCCTGTGGGTTCGGGGTCTCTCACCGCAAAAGTATTGTACTGAACTAGGACCTGGCCAGCAAGCCGCTACCAGCCAGTTTCAAACCGTTTGAACAGTTGGATGGCAGCGCCCCCTGGTGGCTCCAAATAAAACACACACCCTCTTGGTTGGGAAACCCAGAAAGCCCCCACAGCTAGCCAGTTTATAGATCTTATTGTATGCAAAAGTGTAGAAGTTGCTGGCAGGGGCAGAGAAGCAGGTGCCATCATTTTGTCTGCCAATGAACTTTCAAGTTCATTTAATAACAGAAACATATCCTGAAGAGCACTTCCACAGCAGAGTGGGCACTTATCAAATCCTGGGCAGCCGCTCTCACAGCCCAGCACCTCCAGCAGACAGGCCTGACCTAGGGACTGTGCTGTAGACCCCAACCCTTCCTCTGACTCAACAAGGCCCTTGCAGTTAGCTCAGGCAGGGTCCTCCTCAAACCTGGCCTACGGTTTTTACCCCATGACGTGCTCACGCACTCCTGGGTAAGAATCATTTATCCACAGGAGCAGGAACTTCCTGAGAGAAGCAATTGGTTATCGGCTTCTCATGTCTTTGACCTCCACCCTATGAATGGATCCTTTTCCCAGGGGCAGGAATGTCAAACGGGGGCCAGAAAATACCTGAATTCATGCACCAAATCCTACGGAAGTACGGGGGACGTTCTCGCCATACTTACTTCGGGATCGCATGTAGCACTCGGTACAGTTTAGGAGACCGTTGCGAATCCGGACATCTGTCCCACTCACTGCATCTCCGAGCTGTCCTTTACAAATGCCACACTACGAGAGAGAAGGGAGAGAAGTTATAGGACGAATAGGGCATTGTGTACACAGCAATTGGTTGACCGCTCGTGGTGGTCTGAACGCGAATGGTCCCTAGGCTCCTTTGTTTGGTGACTTGTTTGGGAAGGATTAGGAGGTGTGGCCTTGTTGGAAGAGGTGTGTCACTGGGGGTGGGCTTCGAGTTTTCGAGAGCCTGTGGCTCAGGTTGTAAAGTTCTCAACTACTGCTCCAGCTCCATGCCTGTCTGCTTCCTGCCAGGATGATCATGGTCTCTACTGCCTTCTGGAACCGTGAGCCCTGAACTAAATGCTTTCTTTTGTAAGAGTTGTCCCGATCATGGTGTCTCTTCACAGCAACAGGACAGTAACTAAGACACTGCTCATGTGAGGCACGCAGGGACACTTCTGTAATCTTCATGTTCGCTGAGCATCTATTACGGGTTAGGTATGCCACCATAAGGCAGTTTATGGCAAAAGTAAAATATATTTTGAGTATTTTATCTTAACTCTATTTTATAGAGAAGGACATAGGTTGAGAGACTGATTTGCTAGCTGATTTGCCCTGGGGTTGGGAGGCTGGTTCATGACAATGCAGTGACTAGAGAGCCTGCTCAACTGTTACAAATGCATAATTTCTCAATCGAGATAGGAGGACCATTTCCAGAAGATAGTACCCTACCAGTTCTACACAAACTTGTGGCCAATGGATTATCACTTGAAACTTGACTACCAAAAGGCTTTCCAGGACATTCTACCAGAGAATTATTAAGGAACACATTCCATTGTGTATTTCCACATTGCAGGTGTGGTACCAAGGGTTACAAATCTCTTGGGGATGGAACCCTTATCCACTGAGTGTCCTGAGAGCAGAAGGGAAATGTATAAGGCATTTGCAACAGGCAGTAGGGGCCTAACCAGGTACCAGCCCCCTCCGGATGGATCAGACTCAGCCTCTGATTCCTGCTCTAAGATCGGCTGGGTCACAGGGACACATTAGGCAAATGCTGGGACCTGCATCTCACTGTGGTTTGTCTGATTTGTAAACTTCACTGACAGACTCTTAGACTAGGGACAAAGTGAGTTGTTTTCATCCCATCCAAGTTGATGTTATAGCCAAGGGAGCTACCAACGGGAAAGAGGACGGAATTCAAAGAGAAAAGGAAAATGTATCAGCATCGTGCATAGAAAAACGATGACTCAAATTTAGAGGCAGAAGGCTTGGCTTCAAAATCAACCTTCACTTGTAAGGTGCTTGTGAGTAGAAAGAAAGGCTTCAATACGTTCATATATGATTCATTCATCTGAGAGCAAACCAAGTATAACAGCCCCTGCGTAGCAGGAGGGCTGGTAATAGAGCTAGGCCTTCTCATTTGCATTGTACCAGTCCGTCTAAAGTATTTATTGATACCTCCTCTGACAGATACAAAAAAAAAAAAAAACCAGTGGAAATTGAGGAAGACAGAGTCCTTACTCTTCTGGAGTTCTGTGTTTATTGCAGAAGCTGATAACTCAGCATAATGAGCAATAAAGACAAGGGAAGCCTACCCAAGAGCCTTCAGCAAAGGCAATGCACTGGCTGGGTGGGGTGAGGCATGCTAGGAATCTCAGCACCGCAACACTAAGGCAGAAGGACTGTGAGGGGCTGGAGGCCAGCCTGGGCTGAAGAGCGAGGCCTTGTTTCAAACAAAACAGAACACACGGAGGAACTAAAACAGCAAATCAACAGACTTACTACAGGGTAGGTGAACCCTCAGCTTCGCAGAGGAAGCCATCATCCTGAGGTCCCAGACAAGCTTGCTATGAGAACTGAAATCTTACAGCTAGTCTTTGCCACTTACTCTGGACAGAAAATATTCTGTTAGGGCAATGTTTAAAACTCCATCACACACACACACACACACACACACACACACACACACAATCACAAGACTTTAAAAACAGCAAAGACACTTCAAATAAATCCTTCAGGCCCACATGACTCAGAAGCCTCACCTTCTCCCAGCTGCCAGTCCCAACCTCCTGTCACCATGTCTGCTTTCAGCAACAGAAAGTATTTGGAAAGACAACTTGCACAGACTGAGTTTTCTTCTTCTAGAAGGATTCTTCCCCCTCCCCCCAGGAGATTAAGGGTTGGAGAACTGTATCCTTAAGGCTGGACTTGACCCACACACCTGTCTATACCATGTTGGGGAGAGGTTGTAAGATTACTGGGAAGGATTTGTCAGTGCAGGACAAGAGCCAGACCCTGACGCCAGCTTGGAGAGGAGAGCACTGTGTACGCACCCTGAAACACTGGATGTGAAAGTAGAGGTTCAGGGTCTCGATGATCATCGCCGCTCCTTTACCCAAAGCGAACCCACAGGAAGAGCACAGCTTCTTCCCGCTTATAGACCTGGGTCAGAAAAAAAAAAAAAAAAAGACAGTGAGCCCCTCGGTTCCCACAATAGGCAACCTCATGCAAAAAATGGAAACATGGATTTCAATAAGCCATGAATAGGATGAGGAACACAGAACTGACAATGAAGACTTAAGCTGAAGGTGACAGGCTTCCATGGGGTGCTGAATCTGCTGTGTCTGTTGCTGTGATGACGAAACACTATGACCAAAAAATCTAGTTGGGGAGGAAAGGGTTGATTGGGCATACACTTCCAGATCATAGCCCATCACTGGAGGAAGTCAGGACAGGAACCCAATCAGGGCAGGAGCCTGGAGGCAGGAGCTGATGCAGAGGCCATGGAGGGGTGCTGCTTACTGGATGGCTCCTCATGGCCTGCTCGGCCTGCTTTCTTACAGGATCAAGGACCACTAGCCCAGGGATGGCACCACCCACAATGGGCTGGGCCCTCTCCCATTGAGAAAATGCCTTGCAGCTGGATCCCATGGGAACATTTCCTTGACTGAGGCTCCGTTCTCTCTGATGACTCTAGCTTGTGTCAAGCTGACATACAAAACCAGCCACTACAAGCAGTTTCTGTTAAAGGTTCATTGGCCTGCTAAGGCATTTCCTTTTACGAAGAGTCCATTGTAATAGAGGTATCTCTTCAGACCTCAGAGAGAGGGCTCTGAATTCACAGTGTGCTGTCAAGTGCTCTCCTCCTACCCACAAAAGGAGAGGGCTGGCCAGCCCATCTCTACTGTTTTCCAGAACAGAATCTGTCTGATGGGCACTTGTCTTCTGCCTATATTGTAAAGTCTTGGGTCTGAATCCTTCTTCTATCTACAGTCCTGGACACTGTCCACCCACAGACTGGTGCTAAACCTGGCAGGCCCCACCAGGTGAAAGGGCAGAATCAACTGCCCACCGCCGTCACAGGACCGTCCTCTCACAGCAGCCTCCCACCCATCAGATCAGCTCCCCACCACGGCCGCTGCTGCAGAGCTCTAGGAAGAACTTACAAGCATGCACTGTCACCTGAAGGCCACAGTGGTACAGAGTGGACAGAGGAGACAGATGGGCGGACATGGAGAGCAGGAGGAGCTGTCCTCATTAAACCCTATTGATTAAGATGTCCCTCTGTCTTGCCATGAAAAGAAATCTATCAGCGAAAACCACCGAGCCCTCAGTCATTTGTGCCCGTGACAGACGGACACTTAGGCAGCTTTCAAAGATGGCACGGGGACCGACTAATGTCCAGAGCCATGGGCAGAGATCTAGGGAGGGTGCCAAGAGAGGATGAGCTTCTGTTTCCCAGCCTCTCCCTGGTTCTCCAGAGGAGCCAGAAGCCCGTTGCCCTCTCCGGGTTGAGAATCTTGGAGGCAGAGACGCTGTTGCAGGAGCCCAGCAACTGTCTGGTGGAGTTCATTATTAGATTGTGGGTTCCACACGACATCACTAAAACCTAATGGCCACGGACAGCCAGCACCACACAATGACTTTCTCTTCCCCATGCTGATGAAAGTGCAGGCAGATGGAGATATTTTCCTGACTCCTCCCCTCTCCGTGTGCCTGTGGAAGGGATGTGGATGACAAGCCTCTCGGCATCACTTGGCAAGCTATGCCCATTAAGTGCCAGGACCGCAAAAACAGCCTCAGAAAGGCTTGCTGACCTCTTGTACCTGTTTGGTGACTGGCCGGGTGGGGTAGGAGAACAGGGGGACAGGGGCCCAGCCCGGAAGTTGTCTCGAGGGCTTTTCCTGTAACATGGTAAAGGAGCCCACAGTTACGAAAAGTTAACAGAAGCCACAATGAAAGACATTTTAGCTTAAAAACAAAACCAAAACTGAAAAACCCTAAAGGAGCTTCCTACTGTCATCTTTTGCTTATTTGTTTTGAGACAAGGTCTCACTACGGTGCTCAGGCCTCAAACTTAGTCTTCGTCTTCACTCTGCCAGTCAGAATACCATACTTGGTTTTTGTTTATTTTAGTCTTTTTGGAACAAAATTAGCAATTATGTCTAGAAGGAAGGCACACACATGCAAATGACAACCACGCTGACAACTGCCGCTTAGACAGGCGAATACTTGTGGATTCATTTTCACTTGAAAATGCTGGGCTGTGATTTAAGCTGCTGATGGAGCTCTTCTTGCATGCTGAGTTTCATGTGAAAACTGTGGGCTTAGTGGGACAGAAAGATGAATGAAGATACAGGGAGAAGCTCTTAAGGGCATCTCTGAAGCTCGGGGGAGATTTGAAAAAATAAAAATAACTTTCTGGTGAAGACCTTGCAAATAAAAAACATCCCACAGCTAGATTTCATGTGGCTACTTGAGCAAACAGGGCAGGCATATCTTAGAGGAAGTGAATTTTAGTACTTCCTGTGTTAAGATGGCTGCAGTGAAGGTGGTGTTGAGACTGTATAACACTCATCAGGCCGAGAGAAATCAGAAGGGCCCCCACGTGGGGTTGCCGGCACGTCCCGCAGGCACAGGGGCCGCCTAGGAGCCCTGTGTGGAATCAAATCGTCAGCTTTGAAAAGCTAATTTTGTGAGTGAAGAACTAATTAGGACAGAGAAAAGAACAAAGAGAGAAAAGCTAGAACACACCGGCAAAGTCCCTTGACCAGCTTTGAGATCCCTCGAGGCATGCCCTGCTCCACCCTCCCTCCTCAGGGGACCCTTGTCTTCTCCAAAAGTCACACTTTCAAAATGTAAGCACCATGGCTCGAAAAGAAGGGGGGGGGGAGGGGAAAAAAAAGGCTGAAAATCACTGCCATAACCAATCCAAGAACTATGTTGCTGATCTGAGCTCCTGTTGTCTGCGGAGCCACAGATATCCCGCCCTCTGAAAGCCAGCGGAGATACCAGAGAAAGGCCGCAGCAGGGACTCTACAAGGTGCTGAGAAGAAACAAGCACCAGCAGGGACATCCTTGTGGCCTGCACCACAGTGTGGGTTATCTGCCAGGCAGGGGAATCTGTGAGGAAGGTCCCAGTCTCGTTCCCCCCTGAAAACGAGGCACCTAAGGCAGGGGAAAAAACTGAGACAACCTTGCTCAAGGTTCTGTGTAAGTGGCAGAGACATCGGGGAATCCCGGCGGAATGACTGATTGAGGCGATAAGGCACACCAGGATTTGGAAAGTGTGACTGCATGGCTTAACTGTGGTCCTCTAACACATGACCAGTCAAGATCCGTGGGAAAGACACGCACCCTTCCCTGACCTCTTCATCTGTAAACTGGGATGAGCAACTCATACCATTGGGAGGGCCCACCGAGAGAAATAATCCAAATTCTTTACGTACCCATCGTAGCGCTTCAAAATAATTAAATGGAGACAAAGCACAAGAACAGGATCTCATCTTACACTTCTCCCCTGTCTAAGTCAATCCATTTCCTTTTTTTAAAAAAGGAGTCCCCAAACCCCATCTTATTTGTCTACTCACTTCCGCCTTTCGCCTGGAGACTCAATCTGATGGTTAACGCTTTTGTCCAGGGGCAGGGTCTTGGGCTTCACATCTTCCGACACGTTTGTTGATGGGTTTGGTATCTTTTGATTCTGAGGTGGATCTGAGACCAAGAAAGGTCAGAAAAGTCACTTCGATGCCTTCCTTTAAAGCGCCGATGCCTGCTGGTCCTCACAGTAATTCTGTGTGTGCTGGGTCGCACAAGTATCTCAATCTGGCCAGGAAGTCTGCTCCTCAAGAGCATTGCGGGGGTGGGGAGGGATTATGTTCAATGGGGGAACTGGGGAATTTGAGGGATGCATGGTTTATGATACCTTAAAGATTTCTTGTAAACTCTCCTTTTGATTGGAAAAAAAAATTTATTTTATTTATTTTTATTTATTATGAGTCACATGTAAATCTGTGACTCATATGCATGCAGTACCCATGGAGGCCATAAGAGGGTGTCATATCCTCCCTGGATCTGGCATTACCGACATTTGTGAGCTGTCTGTCATGTAAGTCCTGGGAATTGAACCTGGGTCCTCTGAGAGGGCAGTCACTGCTCTTAACCACTGAACCATCTCTCTAGCCTCTCCCTTTAAATTAAAATAAAATTACTTTTATTTATTTTGTGGGGAAGGAGCACATGCCACAGGTGTGTGTGTGTGTGTGTGTATACCAAAGGACAACTTTTAGGAGCTGTTTCTCTCTTTCCACGACATGAGTCTTAAGGCTTGAACTCAGGTCACTGGGCTTAGTGGCAAGAGCTTTACTTACTGAGTCACCTTGCCAGCCACAAGTTTTTATTTTTTAAAATGCTAACGCCTGCTCACCCAGACCTGGATGACACTGTGCAGAGTCTGGTCTCAGGGTGGGAGCTTATGTTTTATATATGTAACAGAAGCTAAAGGTCACAGGCCCTTGGAGAGAAAAGCGCAGGCAGCAGAGTCAGTTCTGGACAACGGGAGGGGTTTGCAGGGACCTAAACACTGGGATTTGTCTCTTCATTCTTACCCTGAGCTAGCTGTGCACTTGTCCCACAGTGTGGGGCCTCAGCCTCTGTCCCCAGCTGCTGCTCCTGATGGATTCCTTTTGCCACGGAGTTTTCAGAGTCAGCTGAGGGCCCATGAGTTAGGCTGCTAAACAAAAGAAAAACAAAACAAAACAAAACAAAACAAAAAACATACTTCAGAGCAGAGATTAAACAACTGGAGCTAGCAGTTAAAAATCTAAGAAAAAAAATAGACTGCTTATTCTTTTTATTTTAACCTAGATCCAAAACCATTACAAAATACTGTGCATTTTTAGTACCCAGCAATTTAACAAGAAATTCAAGAAATAATCATTTCTGAGGTCTTCCCTGCCCACTAGGCTCTTTATACTAATCACCTCTAGGGAGTTGGCCCAAAGCTCCCAGATTTTCATAAGAGAGCAATTATTACAGGCATCACTTGGAAGCCAGTCATAATGACGCACATCTGTAATTCTGGCACTCAGGAGGCAGAGGCAGAAGTTCAAGGCCAGCCTAGGATGCATAGCAATATATTATCTCAAAATAAATGAATACATAAATAATGAATCACTGGGGTCACTTGGGATCTCCACACTGGTGATTAATTCCCCAGCCTTTCAGTGGCTTCTGTGTGCAAAGAAAGAGATTTGAGAAGAGAAAAGGAAAGTTTCTGGTGGCAAAGGGTCCAGCCTGGAGAAAGCAAATAGCAAACTCACAGGCGATGCCTGTCTAAAGAACTAGCAAAAATGCATTTGGGGATCCTTCAAATCTTCCTGAGCATTCTCACTTCCTAGACTTTGAAGCAATGTTAGCTGGAAACAGATTAGGAATACAGAGGGATTTAAATCCACATTCACACCCATAGTACACACCTTCAATCGCAAACAATGTAGGGAGGGTTAGTTTGTAGAAGGAAGCATATTTGAAGGTGGCCTCTAACTGAGGGGACCACAGGGATAAATCAAAGAAAGACCTGACAGAAAGAGTCAGAGGTAGGATATGCCCAACTCTCACAAGAACAGACAGGAAAGAGGAGCTACTTCAGGGTGTAGTAGAGTTGAGAGAGTAGAGTGGGGTAGAGAGAGCGAGAGTAGAGAAGACAACATGGTAGGGTAGGGTACAGTGGGGAGTTCAGAGAGAAGACAGGACACAGCAGAACTGAGTTTAGTACAGGCAGTTTGGGGCAGTTCAGTTCGCGGAGTTCAGAAGCAGAGCAACCCAGGAGAATCTGAGAGAAGCCACTTTGAATCAGTCAGCTTGTGCTGGAGTTTTGAGCCAGAACAGCTGAGTTGAGCCAGTCCCAGAGTTCAGAAAGAACTAGAAAGGGTGAGTAAGTCTTGGAGGCTGAAAACATTCTAGACCTAGGTTAGCAGCTGGAGGCTGGAAGATGAAGCCTTCAAGGTCTGGGCTTGCAGAAGATTAGATTGTATGGAGGCTAGAAACTTTCAGGCCTAGGCCTAGGGTTAGACAGACAGAAATGCTCTGGGGTCAGGCCAAGCCATGTATTTGTAATGCTTGGATATGGCTGTCATTGCATCCCCTCATCAGAGGAAATAAAATCAGCATTTGCACCGGTGACCTTGTCCATCTTGGTGCTCAGTGTCTGATGCTAGCAGTACAAATCCTCACCAGAACTCTGCTCTCAGCCAGCCTGTCTCCTCCACCGGTCTATGACACCTAGATAACCTTTCTCATCTTCTGGTCCCAGTGGAATGATGTAAATGTGTTAGAGGTGCATGCGTGCTTACGGATACCCGTCTGGGACCTCACACCCAGAACAAGCATGTTTCTTAAGGAGGATGCTGGTTGCAGATGGCTGCCAGCTTTCTGGGCTTCCTGTAGATTTCCTCCAGACTAGGCATGGGTGGCTCTGATAGCCTGTAGCCCAGAGTTTACTGCTCTAGTCTGAAGTATTCTGTGTGCTCCGGGGTTTCCAGATTCATTTTTGGATCTTCCATGGGACACCCTACAGTCCACACGTGCAGTGACTATCCGCAACTGTTCGGACAGATTGATTATTCTTCATATTGTAACTCAGAGCAAAGGAGCTCATATCAGCGAGGGCACCAGCAGCCAAGTTCAGGTCTACAGTGGAACTGCAGTAAAGCCTCAGGACCTCGCTTCAATTTCTTTCTCATAGGATACGTTCTCTATTTCAAGAGACTGAAAGCTTTAGGTTTTGAGTTGACAACAAGCCTCTTTGGTGATGTATACTATTTCCTTTATTTAAAACACGTCTCTCCAATCAAATTACTTTATATTATTATTAAAACATTTAAATTTGATTATGTGCATATGTATGTGCAAGATGTGTACATTCACACATCACAACACCCATGCACAGGGCAGAGGATGGCTCTGTGGAGTTGGTCTCTCCTTTTACGTGGTTTCTGGGGATTGAACTTGGGTTGGAGACCTTAATGGCAAGTGCCTCGATCCTCTGACCCATCTCTCTGGCTCTTAAAATTAATTTTTTTTATATGCTTTCACTATGTACCCAAAGCTGACCTCAAATTTATCATCCCTTTGCCTCTCCTGTCACCACACCTGGCCTTGCCTATTTAAAAATAAGACTGTATAGATTCAAGAGTACAAGGATACTGAGTTCAGAGCTGATACAGCATGTTTAAACAGCATGGAATGCCTTGTTGGAGTGATGATTTTCAAGCAGTGGGGCCGCCTTCCAGGGAGCAAATGGCAGAGCCCAGCTTTGAGAATTCTCATGGACAGCAGGGAAGAGCCCGTACCTGCCCTCCTCTGGCAGACCTGTCTCTCTAGCCTTGAGCAAGGGGCCACTGTCATTCTCCTGGGAAGGAGTCTTCTGTCTTCTCTCTTTTTCCTTGTCTGGACAGTTTTCCAAGTCCATCTTATTCTGATGGAAAAAAAAATTGGGATCATTTTGAACATATGTTTTAAAATGAACATACGTTTTAGACACACTCGACATTTATGACGATTAGATTTGACCAAGGAATATCTAAAACCTACCTCCTACCCCCTTTCCTTTCTTTGAATAGCGAACGTTTTCAGTTACTTTTTTGCTCTAAATTTTAAAGAAATTATTAATATGTACCTTCTATACAAGTGAATGAGATTCACCGTGGGCTTGCTTACAGTGTGCTCTGATCATAGCCACCCTTTCCATCTACCTCTGCCCCAACACTATTTTGTTAGTCCCACTTCCTACAATTCGAAGAAAATAGCCTTCTAAACTAATAGATCTCAAAATTACTCAGAATAAATGCGCAATCGCGATCTTTCTAAAAATCATCACTAAAGTGATGGGTCAGGAAACCCCCTTTCCAAACACACGAAACCCTGGACTGCTTGCTTACTTGAGGACAAACGGCCTCTGTTATCCAGGGGTTATTTTACTTTGCAGGTCTGGGCATGTTTCTATCTAGCAGGTCCCTCCATCACCTTACCCAGGGGATGAGTGGCCAACCAACCTCTAAAGGCTCTCTCCACCCTCAAGGACACGTCAAACTTGTGTGGAATTTTTAGTGTAAGAAGCCAGTTTTGGGCAGCTGCACTATAGGCAGGCCTGCTGCTGCTAAATGACGCAGAGGGATGCATGGCATGGCGGGGAGGGGCACGTGGCTCCGGAAAGAGAGAGCGATCCTTGAGTCAGGCAGAAAGAAGGTTCCAGCACGTGGGTTCACGACTGGATGAGCCATCCAGGGCAGTGGCTATTACTCTGCAGGGAGAAGCTTAGGGTTTGGTGATAGCAGGGACAGCATGCTGGGTGCCATGGCCACGGAGAAACTAATGTGGCTTTGGATGAATAGCCAGCCCTGGTTCTAAGCCTCTAAGTGTGCTGGGGAAATGCGGCTTAAGTTATTTATGCCAAAAATTGGTTTTCATCAGTGGTCTTACCGTTGCCCCACTGCCTTCAGTTACAGATGAAGAAGTAGACAGCTGATCTGCAGAACTTGAGGAAACAGTGAACGGAACCACAGTGTCCTCAATTATCTTACGCTCCTAAGGCAAAGACAGGAGAGAATGAAATGAAGAAAAAAAAAATTTTTTTTTTTTTTTAAAAATCTGTCAAGAGAAAAAAATACATTAAGGAGCTACAGGGAAAAAAAATCGCCAGAACATAAACAAATAAAGCAGGGCATTAAGGAAATCTTATTTTCCAGAGCATAGAAAACAGATGACACCAAATGGGGAGTGGTTTAGAACTTTGTGCTGAATTTACAGAGTTTAATCAGTGTTACAGGAAAACACAGTTAAGGAACACCACTGCAGAGCTGATCGGTTAACAAGTTACTGTTGAAGGTAAAGTTTCCAACAAGATTGAGCACAACAACTAGATAAAACACCTTAGATGCCCACCTCCAATTTCTGTGCTGTGGGCTGTTTGTCATTCAAAACATTAAACAGGATGCAACTGTCCTCCACAAATCCCTTTAGCACGGTATAGTAAGTGTGGTCAGTAGGTAGGATGTATTTAGCTTCAATGTCCAAACTGCCCTACAAAACTAACTCATTACCACCACAAGCAAGCACAGACACAAATAGACACACTGCTGTTTTAAATGTTATCTAAGGCAGGTCAAGAATCAGAAACGACTGGAGAACCAACGTGACCATGACCACAGTGGCTCCTTGAGCACGGTTCAACCCATTCTTCCCATAGCCCACATGGTGGCAGGGTTCCTGTGGTCTGCTAGAACCCATCTGAGGTCATTCTCTTCAAGAGACTGATGGGACGGCTGGGAGAGTCAGACAGGACCACAGGCACGCGTGCGCTGCAGACACAGAGGTGACAGACTTTGGGGGACCATGCTGACAGAGTCGCACTCTCCCTGGGAATTTCCTACCTCCTCGTAGTATCTGCGCTCTTCTTCCTCCACCTCCTTTTGGGCCTTTTCCCACTCTTCCTTCAGCTTATCTTGCTCCTTCTGATACCTCTCCTGTTATGGGATGTCCAAAGAACATTTTGGAATTTTTTTTTTTTTATTTTCCTCTCCTAAAGCAGTGTGCACAACATGCTGCAAGCTGTTCACCATGAGTGAGCACTTGAGGTGTAATGTGTGCATACCATAAGAAAGAAATACCGTCCTGGACCATGCCCGCAGGTTTGGTTCATGTGGTGGTTTAAATGAGGACTGTCCCCTGCTGACTCATGTATCTGGACATTCGGTTCCAGTTAGTGGAACCTTTAGGAGGTGGAACTTTGCTAGAGGAAGTATATCACAGGGGCTGGGCTCCGAGGTCTCAGAGCCCTTCTTCACTTCCTGTTCTCGCTGCTTCCTGTGTGTGAATGAAATGTGACCACTTTGCCTCTTGACTGCCAGGCAGGCCTCCAGGGCCTCCTTGCTGTGCCTTTTCCTACTACAATGGACTGCAGCCCCTCTGGAACTGTAAGCCAAAATAAAACCTCTTCCCCAACTTGCTCTTTGTTGAGGTATTTTTAATCACAGGAATAACAAAGTAACTAATATAGAGACATTTAAAATCCCACAGGGAGCCACATTTCTGCTGTTGTGTTTTATAGGGTTTCTTTTCAGAGATAGAGACATTTGTGAAAGATGAAAAGAAAATCTCCCTCAGCTTGGGTGGTCCCACACCTCAGCTTGGATAGGCTACATGGCTAGTTTGCCTCATCTGAGACTTTCAGATGTGAGTTTTGCTATTTCACTAGTAGAAATATATTGCTGGGCTGGGGACATAACTGTCTCGCATGTGCCATGAACTGGGATTGAACCTCATCCCTGCAAAAAGTAATCAACCAACCAACCAACTAAAAACACTGCCAAAGAAGTTTAGTAAAGTATAAAAACCCGCCAGGTTTATAAGAAAGTCAGGGCAGAGAGACCCAAAGAGCTCAAGACGACCATCAGCTGAGTGGCCTAAGTACTCAGGTACCTCCATGGCAATGGGATGAGATCTTGGACTTAGGAGAGCCTATTACAATGCTTTGATGTGAGAACTTGCATCCTTGTGTTCAGAAAAGATGCAATACTCGTCACCACTCCCGAGAGAAAATGAAACACTTGGAATAAGAACAGCATAAAAAAAAAAAATATCCGGGGAGTCCCTGACCGCTAATCAGAAGAAAAAAAGAGAAGATGTAAAGATTAAAATCAGTGTTTGAAATGAGAAGTGATCCCACGGCAACCTACAGAATTGGTACTCTCCTGGTACCCACAAAGGAGACATGGGTTTGTGCACACATGCTTCAACACTTAGGCTGGATTCCGTCCTCGGTGTGATGCTAAGACAGCACTGTGAACCTCTCTGGAGGGGAAAGGTGTTGAGATGTCCCCAGACAGCAACTGTCAATATCATGACTTAGGTGCAAAGACTTTCATGGGGACATCTGTAGACTGGTGTTCTTGTGAATATTAGTAGAGGCACTGCTGGCCAACCCAAAGTGGGCTCTGTAGATACTTATCAAAACTTATGATCAGAACCACTTATCGCAGGAGCTGGGCGTGGCGGTGCATGCCTGTAATCCCAGCACTCAGGAGAGAGACAGGAGGGTGTCTGTAAATTCCAGACCGCCCACGGTTACCTAGCAAGTCTCAGAAACAAATAAGAGACCAAAGGCAATTCCAAAAGCAAATCAATGAGCCCCTCACTCACCTCAAACATTTAGAATGGGAATTCAGGGGCGCTTGTTATCATTTCGGCAATCAAAGCCTACACCTCTACAGTTTTCAAAGGTACCAAGCTAGACTGCAGAGCAGTCCAAGCAGTCAACTTTCCCATAGAGCCCACTTCCTTACCCATGGGAATCAGGGCAAACGGATTAGGACAAAATACGAAGACAAAGTAGAAAAAAAAGCTACATTGTACTTCAGTTCTAGAGCAGCTGGAAGTCAACGGATTTAATGAGGTTCACGATGCTTCTCTACGTGAGTGTTCAGGTGTGTGGTGGAAACAGCATGGTTTTTAGGGTTGTAAAGGCTTAGGTTTGGGTCCAAGCTTGGCACCCATCAGCTATGTGACATCAGGCAGTAAGTTTAATCTCTGTGAGCCTTCACTGCCTTCAATGAAGAATTGGCTGTTCTGGTGTGTTTCTGGCACACCCCAAGTACACAAATAGGTCAGTTTCAAAGGTCACCAGGACACTTTGGGCATAAAGCAAATGGAAGCATGTTACTTTTTTCTCGGAATATTCCTAGAATTGATCATTATCAGCTTTCACTGAGAAATGGGATGATATTCCACTGGAGGAATTAGAATAATGTCAAATTTTAGTTTACCCAAATGCTATTGAGTAGCTAGCGTTTGGGTAATTCAACCTCACTGCTTCTTGAACCGGAAATTGGTGGCTAAGGAGGTAATGAATACAGGTAAAATGACTCTTAATCACTGCTTAAAGTTTTGTTGTTGTTGTTGTTTTTTTTTTTTTTTTTTTTTTTTTTTTTTTTTTTTTTTTTTTTTTTTAGTATTAATGTGAGCGATTCTCCCCAATTCCTCCTTATCCCTGGATCTGATGGCAGGAAGAATCAGGTCCAAGACTCCGTAGCCTGTGCACAAAGCATTGATAGACTCAGGGGTTTCTGAGAAGAACTGGATTCCATGTTTTCTGTGCTAAAAAATCTATTTGATGCAACAGATGTTAAGAGCTCACAGTTCCAGAACACAGCGAGATGAGCAGGCGGGTCCTACCTGGAGCAGACGCTCTTGCTCCTGCTGCCATTTCTCCTGTCGCCTGCGCTCCTCTTCTGGGTCCCATGCCCAGAACTTAAACTGCTCAGGAAAAACAAACAAAGAAACCCCGTGATCAGAACTGAGGCAGGTCCTCAAGGATTGGCCAGGGCAAGAGAAGACAATTAGCTTCCCACATGGTACCACCCAAGGGACATAGAAATAAATCTTGAGATATCTAAATGCCCTCTTTGGTGGCAGAAACCATTTCCCAAACTTAACCCCTTTTTACTCCGATTCCAAAATGCCAGGTTGGTTCTATGCCACCATGCCTCATATGGATAATGGAAACTCATAGGGATTAACCATGGGAACGAGAAGGCTTTGCTCCATTTCTCCCAGAAGGATGTCTTAGAAGACTCCGTGTTCCCGAGCAAGATGCTCACTGTGCATGCTTACGAATAGGGACGAAAGCAGCATCTAGGAACTAGAGTCTGCTACACCTGAAACGAACCCTTTACACCAGTATTGCTTCCCACGGCAGCTTTCCCCAAAGTGGTCAGCATCACCCAAAAGCAAGATGAGTGGAGCCCCAGCCCTAAGGGCAGCATAATAAACACTCAAACCCAAGACTGAGCACAAACAAAGCCTTCAGAGGAGGTTTTAGCAAGTTGGAGAACAAGCAAGAACACAGCTTCTCCATCTGAATCCATGGACTCCCTCACTTGCTCTACTTTCCACAAGCAGGAAGTCTTCTTGCAGTATGTCTTTTTGCAGTGCCTTTTCCTCTCCATCCCCACCCAGGACCACATGAATAGTTTGACATCTTTGCTGTCTATGTAGTTTAAGATGGAAGCCAACAGGTTATATCCTTCTCTTCAGCATGACGTGGTGATGCTAGCTTTGGAGTCATTCTAGGGTTCTTAGCTTCTAGGAGACTCAGGATTACCAGTATCGGGTTATGACGGAAACTTCACATATGGTTCCCAGTTATGAAATGTGGCTGGAGATCTCAAGGCTATGTGACAAGTGCTAGCCCACTCTACATGGTCACAAAGGGAGAAAATTCGCCTGTAGATACTAAGTGACACCGGCTATAGGAAGCATCTGGGACTGGTCAGCAGAGGGAGGGGTCATTCTTGTATCAGGCACTATATAGTGGCAATTATATAATGATTTCAATTAAGGCTCGCAACTACCCTGAAAGAACACTATTTGAGTCTCACTGAACAGTCAAGGAAGATTAAATGGGGAGGATTTATAAATCACCTCCAGTGTTACACATCCTAGCCCAGGCTAGTAAACTTGGGCCCAACTTGGAAAGTGCTGTGTATATGAACATGTTTTTGCTTTAATCCCAGGTATGGGGTGTGGGACTGATTCAGAGAGTCCACAGCAGCAAACTATTTGTCTCTTGCAGGCTCTGAGAGGAGCTCTTTTTCAGCTGCAGACAGTTTAAATCTGAGGACTCTGGAGAGAGAATAAATGCCAGAGCCCAGAGAGGGTTGGGGAGCTCTGAGAAAGAACCAGGCTGCTGCTGCCGCTGCTGCTTTGCCCCATTAGCTCCTGTTGCTGTTGATGCAATGAGACAGGAAGTTGGAGATCTCCTGAAGCCAGGATTGGACTGGCTCCAAGCAACCCAACAGGTTGCTAAGAGAACTGCACCCCCTCTCCCACTAACCCTTTTTCTTTCCTACCTGATTTTAGAGTGTTGGAAGGGATTGGGGTGGAGTAGGGAAAAGAGCTATAAGAAATGTAATAGAAGAGTTTTTAAAAAGTACGCCAACAGGAAAGAGATAAGCATTTTGTTTCCAGGCGGGACAGGATAACTACCACACATAACAATCCATGCCTTTACAATCTACTGGGGAAGCATTAAATTGTTTCAAAATAAAAAAATTTTGGATCTCAGCTTTGGTTGAATGCTCTTTAAGAAAATCAGGTATAAGTTAAAAAAAATCATTGTAAGTGCATGACTTTGCTCTTTAAGAGGGAATACTTACAGGCGTGGTCACAGGGGACTTTTCACTGCTTGGAGAATCCGCTATGCAGAAGAAAAGAAAGAAAAGAAGGCATTGACATGAGCAGCATCTGGCTGTGTTGGCCTTTTGATGCTCTCAGCCGAGTGTACTTCCCGTGTTAACTTCGGCAGCATTAGAGAGCCACAGTAAAGCAGAGCCGTGGCAGGTTGGGCCCATCACCAAAAGGAACAAAGCGCATACCGAATCACGCAGCGCCAGGTACCAGGCTCTAGGAAGCGACCACTACAGCTATTAGTGCTGGATCTCAGTCCACCTTGCGTTCTGGAGGAGGGAGCAGGTCCCCCAAGTGTCTGACACAGAGAAGTACCACAACCAAGAGGCCAGATGGCATCCAGGAAGAACAGAGAGAGCGACACAGTTAACAAGAGCACCGCGTTTGTGGCTTCTGGCCTTAGTTTGAAAGGGGGAAAGGGCCAGGCGGTGTGGACAGTGTTATTTCTTTGGCATCTTAGAATCAATATAAGGTCCTGTGAAATTCCGCCGACTTTAGCACAACAGGCACTGATGCCAAAGAACCAGCTCGTTGCTAACTGTGTGTCACAAATGTGTTCCCCCTCTAAAGAAAAAAAAAATCTTAAATCAGAAGTGAAGACAAATTCCAGACACCATTGGTTGCCCCAACATGGATTCTTACGTAAAAGAAATGCAGCTACCCAGTGTGTCATTTACCTGACTGGGAGAAAAACTGGCACCGGCGCCAAGAGTTCTGAACTCTCAGCGGAACACTGGCACTGCCAGGCAGCTCTAGATTAGATGGCAGGAATAGAACAAACAGAAATCCATGAAACTGGGTGAGAACTGAGCAGAGCACATGCCCGCACATCAAGAAGGGCCAGTTGTGGTTGACCCAGGAACTGAATGCCTCTGAACCGCACATGTAAAACATCTCACCAGAATGCACACAAAACCTGATGATACGGGCAATGGTCGGTAGAACCAGCAAGCCCATGTTCTGCTGTGTGGGTGCTGAGTGGAAGTTTTTGGGCCTGCAAATAGTAGGGATATGTCTTACGGGTTAAGGTTCAAGCTGACGTAGCAGCTTGCTATGCAGGGGCAACTCTAGGAAAGTATAAAAGGGCAGCAGAGATGTGGCGGGCGGGGAGGGGGGCGGGGACTGTGATGTCATCCACAGCACACCTGAGAGAAGGGTGGCTCGCTTCATTTCACACCTACAGACAGGTGCACGTCGGTGTCAGCCTGTCGTGCCCCAAGCACACAGAACTCCTGGCAAGTATTTGCACCCTATACACTGGGCTCTGCTACTTCCATTCCCAAAGCAATGAACACTGCAGGTTAGAGCCCATGATTCATGGAAACCCAGCTTGGACATAGCTTTCCTGTTTCCAGAGAGCTGGATAAAAGGAATCAACCAGCTCGTACCGTATCTTATGAATGTTTCAGAGTGTTGAAGGACTGTATTGTTGCCCACATGTGTGTTTGGGGGGGGGACCTGTGGAACCTTTCTCAGGTTGACAGATCTGTATGAGCATCTATAAATAGATGACTTCAAAGAAATTGGGGCGACACCAAATTCTGGGAGGAGAAGGGATTTATGAGGTGTGCCTCCTGGGCTTTTGGTTCCTTTGGACTAGATGCTGGAATCCATGCTAGTCATTTAGGTGTGTGCCAACTTCTTCTGTCTGGGACATAACCCATGACTTCCCTCGCCACACTCCAACCAAAGACCAGCACTCCTTCAGTGGTTACATTTATTGGAGGAATTTTGCAGTCTAAATAAGCAGACAGTCGGTTTCATATCCATGTGCAATGTTTTTGAGGCACCATTTAAATAAACTGTTCAAGTCATGGCTCTCAGGTTGGGATTCCAGGGCTGCCACAGCAGGATCACCTGGACACGTGGACTTCCTGGGAGTACAGCTAGAGCCTCTGACCAGATCTACAGGGCCAGGCTCTGAGGATCGGGCACCAGCCCTGCAGGCTCACACTCCTGTTTGAGAACTACTGCTCAAGCCGCATCACTGTCATGCCATTTCTTTGGGAGAGGGTGTTCAAGAAGAGTTTATTATTTGTGCCTAGCATTTGGTCCATATTCCCACCTTTATTGCTATTATTCTACAATCACTAAATCCAAATCTCTTAAAAGTCAGTGTGTGATTATTTCTACTTGACCAGTGGTTAGACCTTAGGGAAAACTGAAAGAGGAAGATGATGTATCTATGAACTCAATGATCGAGGATTTGAACCCAGGTGTTCTGTCTCCAGTGCGCACACTTAAAATCAGTGTTCACGAACCACATGTCATAACAGAACAAGTGCCTGCCAAATCCAGTTCTCCCTGGAGAAATTACCTTTAAAACATGGCAGTGCTATGAAAATTTATTTCTTAAATTATTCACTTTGGATAAAGCATGAAGTAAAGCTCCTTAATTCAATAGCAATTTCTTAAAAACAGAGTGCTTCATGGAAAATATAAACACATCAAGACTAACTGATATGGCTTACATATTTATGCTACCTATATTTCTTAGTTACATAGTTATAAAGTGCTAGAAATGGAACACAATCACAATGTCTAAATAATGGCCAACTGGTTAACCTAGTTGTGAAATTTTATTTTCATTACTTTTTTTTTTTCCAGGACTGAAAATTTGGGGTTAAATGCTTTGGAGGTAGTGCTGCTGCATTTGCTTTTACATCACCGCCTAGTTTCCTACCAGACGCTCCTTGTTTTGTATGGGGAGCCCCAAAATGATCAACAAAAGTTAAAGAAGACCAACTCAGATGGTACTAACCGGCGACCCTAAATAGCTTTAAAAGAGAAATAATAATAAACCACGGGTAACAAAGTCCACACCATCCTCTCTGACAGATCAGATTTATAAACTACACTAAGGAAAAATGTCAACAAAGAGGCATTCAGAGCCTCTGGGCCTGCCTTCCAAACTAACTCTTTCCAGTTACAGCCTTGGTCTGTCCACTCTGAGAAATAATTCCAAGGATGGCAGGATCCTGGGAATGCCATCTTCCCCAGTTCGCATTCCTAAGGGTCCTTTGTGATAGTGTGGGCATTTGGGTTTCCCATGAGGATAAAGGACATACAGTTGTGTTCTTAAGGAATAAAGGGGTGACTTTATAACCCATCTACGGTTCACAAAGTGGGAGCCAGCAATATCTGAAGACTTTCACAGAACCTTAACCCCCATATTTCTAGAAGCTGCTCTTCCTCACATTATATCAAACATTAAAATATGGCAAATACACAAAAACACATTAACATACAACCCAGGTTATGTTACATCTTAAACATATTAAAACATATCCTTAGTGTATGTACGTAATCACATACATACTAAAGATAGATCTTTAAATGTTCCGTGTATTTTATTTCTCATTTTTGAAAATATCAAATGTCCTTATCATGAAGAATTTTTTGAAAGAGTAAAATTTTGGCTGAGTAAGCATGGTAATCATATGTGCACCCCAGACTTACTATAGAACAAAAACCAAGTTTCTATAATAAAAATGAGTTGAGCTATCATTTTTAATTATCTTGTCATACTTTGGAGCCAAGACAAAACAAGTTTGAAGATCTCAACGCGTATTCAAACCCTGTTTTACCCATAATGCCTGGCTGACCAGGTAGACTTAGTGGCTGGAGTACCTGCGGTCAAACAAAAGAATGCATCTCAGCTTCCCAGTCTGAAATTCATAATTCAGACCCTGGGGACAACCTAGCTAAAGGAACATCACCTCAAGGATGCAAACAGCTTTCCATAGGAAGAGTGTTTTACCACAGGGAGCCCAGCAGGCTCTGAAGATCTGAGATAATGCCTTTTCCCCACCTTACCTTGAGAATTGAGATTTGGCAAATGCAGTTGGTTGGTTTCTGGCATTTTGTCAAGAAACGGAAACGTCAAGGTTGCTTCAGGTTCTGGGGATTTTGGCTTTGCCACCTGGACCACAGCAACAGACATAAACATTAGGAAGACTATCAATCAATTAAGCCACAGAGCTTACAACATCAGTATTTAAACAATCAATATGCTTAAATATTTAATCTTACAATAGAATTTTGTTTTGCTTCCCTAATGAGTTTTCACACTTTTTTTAGTCAATAGAGTGGTTGATTTTTCTTAGAAATTAATGTGGTGATACCTTTCTTCAACCTCAGAAGACATTTGGAGCCTTCCCTCCGTCCCTCCCTTCCTTCCTTCCTCTTTCTTTTTTTCTGTTTTTGGACATGGTTTTACTATGTAGGCCTGGCTATACCTTGTTAGGTATATCAGACTAGCCCTGAACTATTAACCCGTTTCTGCCTCCTGAGTGCTGAGATCAAAAGCATGCTCCACCACTCTAGGCTTCAATTCTAGGTATTCACACTCTGCTCAACTTGTCAGAAAATGGACTATTTCACAAAAGATGATTAAAACCACTGCTTCTGTAAGGCAATGCCTCTTTCAAAGGACATTATTCTAACAGTACTCCACCACCCCACAAAGTTATGCAACACACAATATTCTTTGCCTGTTGACAAGGAGATACTTCTAAAAATAGCTAGTATCAAACAATGCCACCACAGCGGTGTCCTTGGATTTGGCATTTAAAAACAAACCCATTTACTATAAATAAGACTCTAGGTACGAATTACATTTAATAAGAGCCCACTGTATCATAGTAATTCTTGCTATCCAGGGGTACCAGACATCATTGCTAAGAAGTAAGCATGCAATGGAAAGAGAATATTTAGTAAGAAGTCGGCTTAAGAAACAAACCAGCAAGTTTACACACAGCAAGCTAAAGCCTAAATTTAACAGGATTCTACAATATGTTTACATTTAAATAAAATCAAGTATCTTTAAGATTAAATGAAAGTTGTAATGCCGAAAGTATTACTAATACAGAATGGCATGTGTCAGTTACCTGCCCCTTTCTCATTCTATTTCTTTGTTTATTTAACAAACGTGTTTATATATTCTATGGTATGGCATTTGATATATTTATAATGCAAATGTCCATGTTTCCCTTTCTCTCTGAGTATATAGCTGTAATTTGAACAGGAATGGCTCCTATAGGCTCATACATTCAAAACCATGGAATGGTTTTGAGAAGGATTAGGTGGTCTTAGCGGAGGTGCTGTGTCATTTGGGGTGGGCTTTGAGGTTTCAAAAGCCCACACCAGGCCCAGTTTCTCTGTCTGTCTGTCTGTCTGTCTTGGCTTCTTGCTTGCAGGTCAGATGTAAGCTCTCAGCTCCTGCTCCAGAACGATGCCTGCCTGCTTGCTGCCACTTCCTGCCATGATGATCACGGACTCTTCTCTGAAATTGTAGGCCAGCCCCTGATTAAATGCTTTCTTTTATAAGTTGCCTTGGTCATGGAAAAAGAGATAACAGTAGGTGTGTTTGTGTTTGTGCATGTGCGAGCTGTTTAACAGCGAACATGCAGTGTAATTTTTAGAGAGAATGAGAGACTGAAGACAGGAGAACAGATCAGGTGAGAAAGCTATGACTGCTGGCTGCCCCGGGAGTCGTGTTAACCTCTGATCCCATCGCAATTTCACCTTCTGTGACAGCACTAACTCCACCTTCCCACTCATCTCGTTTTCTGGCTTCTTCTGGTCTTGCTCTTCTGGCACTTCATTCTTCACCTGCGGGCTGGAGGGAAACTCTACAAAGGCCACCGTTGGGCTGCATCGTGTCACAGTTGTTGTAAAATGCTGTGGCTCTGGAGGGAGGCCATGCATGGAAACAGAAGAAAGATGGAATCACACAAAGGACCATTTTCTTTCAAAGTCACAATGAACATTTCCTCAGACTCCTCCCTCCTGATGACAGGCTGCTTCAGCACACGAGGGCACAGGGACGGCAGGCTTCTCATCAAACTGCTCTTCTACGAAAAACTATACTTAACAGTCACGATGCACAGCACAGTATCACGTGACACAAAATATTGGACGATAGTGGGGCAGATAAAACAGGATGTCCCCAGACCCGCCTGTGCCTGTGATTTTACTTTGTGCATGCCCCCCAGGGCCAGAGGCTGACATCAGACGTTTTCCTCTATAGATCCTGCCTTATTTATTAATTATTTTTTTAGAAGCAGAACTTCTCAGTGAAGTTCTACCCCCCTCTCTAGGTAGCCTGGTTGGTCAGCAAGCTCCTATCGCTGGCCCTGCCTAGTGCTGGGGTTACAGACACAGAGCCCAGCTTTGACCTAGTTGCTGGGGACCCTAACTCATGTTCTCAGGTTCATGCAGCACTTTACCTAACTGAGCAGCCCCAGCCCGAGACCTTGTCTTTTTTAAGACTACATTTTCTTAACTGGCTTGTGTTAGGGGTCAAGGGGCAGGCAGATGTCATGCATGAAAAACAAGCCGTTCTCTGATATCTCTACAGTTTAGGTGCACTTTAGAGGGAGTGGAAAAGCCACCGGTTGAGGGAGTGTCCTCACGTGTGGAGGCACAGTTTGGCTCGAAAAGCATACGCTATTGCTTTCAGTAATGACGTTTATTTCAAAATGCCATTTAAGAACAACTTGGTGTTCAAAGAGGGGTTTCCCTATTTATCAAAATGAATGTGTGGAAAATCTTATAAAAGTATCTAGGGTCCTCTCTATTCTACTACCAAGCTACGCCACCAGCAAATTTATGTTTATTTTGGTGTATGCCATATCTATTGCTGTGACAATAGATATTGATTATCTATTGTGCTATAAAATGTGACCCTTTGAGGATGGCTCATCCTGGTTGTCAACCTCACAAACCCGGAAAGAGGCAGCTCTGGCTGAGGAATCGCTTCCATCAGATTGGCTTGTCCGCATGTCTGTGAGGCGGGCTCTTGATTGCTAACTGATGTATGAGGACCCAGCCCTCTGTGAGTGGTGCCATTCCCTATACAGGAGGGTCTCTGTTGCGTAAGAAGAGCAGCTGAACAAGCCAGGGGAAGCAAGCCAGTCAGCAGTGTTCCTCCATGGTCTCTGCTTCAATTCCTGCCTCCATTTTCCCGAACTGAGCTGCTGCCCTGACCCCCTTTGATGAATGGACTGTGGCCTGAGAGTTGTAAGGTAAAAGAAACCCTTTCCTCTCCTCCATCATGTTGGTGTTTATCAGTTACCACAAAGCAACTGGGACAACCCAGTGCCTGGATTATTACTATGGAGGAATTAAGTATTTCTAATGGGTATGAAGACATACTTTTAGGAAATAAAATATCAAAGTAACACACACAGAGAGAGCCTGAGATCCTGTTTTTATAGCAACATTAACGCCACAGACAAAATTTCTCACCAGCGCCTCTAGGTGGCAGCACAACCACACAGAGCCTGACACTCCCTTCATTAGTCGTCATTCTATCACAAGTTACCAAGCTTTACCTGAAAGCTGGCATGCCATGAAACAAACCTGCTGAGTCCGGCTCCACTTCCTGTGTCCCTGACTTCTCGTCACCATTCTCATCTTCTTGGCAGTTCAATTCATCAGAGGCTGCCTGAAAAAAAAAAAAAAAATATATATATATATATATTACAAATATAATATATATATATATATATATATATATATTTCCTCCTTCGAATAAACCACGCCCTTCAAAGCTCCAAAAAGCAAAGGTTACTTTCTCAATGATAATTTTCAGGCCAACAAGGTGGGCTGTCCGTAGAAACTGTCTTCTGTTTCCCAGCAACTCTATGTCAAGAGTCTACTTTGTTGGAAGGAGGTGTGAACGTGGACAGGAGGCCACAGGCATGCTCGCTCTCCCCAGCCCTCCTCGTCTTCCCTTGTTCTACCACCAAATCTTACAAAGCAACATGGCCACCCACTTGTTCCCGAATCCTTTCAAGCTGGCTGTGTGTCCTGTCACCAGCAGAGGGGCTTGGGCTTTCATTCTCAAAGGCTCGTGGGCCTCTCAGGCGGCTGTCGTGGGCACAGCTACCAGGGGCTCCTAAACGCTGTAGATCTTATCCCTGAGGCTCTCAGAAGTTTTCACAGCCATTTCTTCCCTTTTGGTCTGACATCTGGGAAGGCCATCCTTCCCTCCCTTACTCTCCTCCTAAGGGCTCCATTCACACGCCACCCCACAGCCACCTCAGCACCCCTCTCACAACAGAGCCTCACTGCTGTCAGCTGTATGCTTTTATTATTTGTAATAGAAAAAAAAAAAAAAAAAAAAAGCACACCAACCTAAATGGTCAACGCATGGGAGAATAGTTGAATGAATTACTTAGGACCATAAAGGGAAGTACTATGCAATCACTGAAAATAAGATGCTGAGCAGGCCGGGGACCCTGCTCAATGGGAGTGCTTGCCTAGCACGCAGGAGGCCCCAGGTACTGCAAAAGAAGACAGCAAACAAAGACGTAAAACCTGCCGTCGAGCGGCGGCGATGTGTGAAAATCATTGCTATTCAATGTGGGGTTAGGACAGTTAAAGTACATATACACACCACGGTGTCTACACATGCGAGCGCACGCATCCCTATGCACACACAAACAGACCTGCTGGCACATATGTTAAAGTGCACAACGTGCACACCCTTACATAACACACATATGTGCATGCTTATGCCTTATATGTGTGGCATCAAAGGCAGAGAGGGCTAAACGGTAGACAGTGGAGGTGGGAGCAGGGGCAGCAGAGAGCACGGGGAAGGGCAAATGTGAGCAATGTATGGTGTATGTATAAAACTGTCCTAACGAGGCCCATTATTTTATGCTAACTAAAACCATGAAAATAGAAACACACAACTCCAAGAGGAGAGAGGATGTTAGCGGCGCTTACTTTTAAAATGTGTTTGCCATTTGGGGATGATTTCTCTGTTTCTTTATATATATATATATATATATATACCTTTATATATATATATATATAAAGGTTAAAAGGTTTGAGATAAAAGCTAACGTTGGTTTTCAGAAAAGGCATTTATTAAATACTTCATAAAATATCTCCAAGGAGAAAACCAACTCCCTCAAGTTGTCCTCTGACACCCACAGGCACACGATGACATACTTGTGTTCTCATACACACATACATACACATACATTTATATGTCTATACATACACACAAAATAAATAAATAAATGTAGAACTTTTTAATTAAAAAAAAAAAAAGAATTTTAAGCCCATATCTTTCAAGCTTCTAAAAGACTTTACAATAGTATCTATGGGGAAAATGTGATTTTCTTTTGGAGGGTAGGGTACTGGGAAATACTCATAATTAGGCTGGCGTTTTCTAATGATGGATAATCATATATCAACTCTGAAAAAGCACAACATCAAGGTAACAATGTGCTTTTCTTTCTTTTTCAGTACTGAGGACTCAACAGAGCTTCCCGTATGTAAGCCAAACACTACCACTGAGCAGCCCTCTGCTCCTAGCCTTTTCTTACTATTTAAGCCAGGGTTTTGCTAATTTGCTCAGGCCATCCTTGAACTTATTCTGTAGCCAGAAAGACCCTGCAACCCTCCTGCCTCAGCCTCTCCAACAGTTGAGACTTTGGGCTTATGCCTTGAGGCTGGCTTTAAAAATCCTATGCAGACCAACTGTGGTGGTGCAAGCCCACAGTCTCAGCCACTGCGGACACCAAGGCAGGGTCAGAGGTTCAAGCCCTGCTTAAGCTAATTAGTAAGACCCTGTTACAAGTGAAACTGAAATGGTCTAGGGGTTAGATAAATGGTAGAATGCTTGTACAGCATGCATGAGGCTCTGGGTTTGGTCCTTAGTATCACAAAAAAAAAAAACCAAGGACCCACTGCCAATAAGAAAAACACACAGACAGAAAATAACCATCACGCTGATATCACTTAATGAATTGTTAATATTTTTAATCGTACCAACAAGCCTGAATTCCCTTAAGAAATATGATGAATGAAAACAACCAAAACAAAGTCTCTTTTATTCTACAGAGGTTCTACATATATGCAGATGTGTGTGTGCATGCGTGTGTTTGCACTCACATGTTTATAGACGTCACTCAAGATCCACCAGTTTAACATTGTAAAAGAATAAGTTAGACTTTGTCATGTGAAGTTCACCCTTGATACAAACAGAAGCATTAATACCCTGTGGCATTTTTGCTTTATGGTGTCAATATATAGAATGCTGGCAGGATTACTGACTCTTACCTTCTTCCTCAAACAGGTTAAATTACAGAAAGCTATCTAAGGCTGGAAAACAAATCTGCAGCTAAATACTGACGAATGAGCCTCTTGAGAACACTCATGTTCCCAGTTACAACCGAGTAACCGCACAGGGCCCAGGTTCTGGAAATGAACACATTTTATGCAATCTAAGATGCCATCCAGTTCAAGCTGTATTAGTTTAGGCAGTACTAGGAAAGAAAAAGCACTGTTAAACATGACACACTGTGGATTGTAAGGGCAGTTCTGATCTGTTAGAACATGGAGAGTGCACCACTTGGACTCAGTAAAGTAAGAGTGTTCCCGAAGCCCATTCGACATAATGCATAACGCAAAGGGGACAAGCCCCACCAGCACTGACCGCTTCACCCAGGATTATGTAACCAGAGTATTGGAGTATCGCGTTTTAGTATTCTTTTAGTTAGGCACGACGAACAGAGATCTACCTTGGAGAATTCTCCAATGGCTAAGGTCTTTCTATACAGCTCACCCTGAATTGATGATTAAGAACTTGCATCCTGGTATTCAGTACGGCCCAATAATGGCTTTAATACCTAACATGGATGGGGTCACGTAACCATCAGGGTGATCTTAAAGGAAGTATCAGCATGGTTCTCTTCACACAGGCTGATGGTGAGCGGCTTGCCCGGGTCCCCCTGTCAGTAGGCAGGGGAGGTGGGAGCTCTGAGCTGAGGCCAATAATCTCCCCCTGCTATCGTCTGGCTTAGGGCCATGCTTACCTTGGTGGTCTCTCTCAGTATTTAGGGTTTCTGAGCCATAAGCAGTGACTAGGTACCCAAGAATCTCAACTTCACCATAGAAACATTTTAAACTGTCATTTCTGTCCCCCCTTTTTCCTCTACCTCCCGTTCATTATTCAGCAAAAGGTTAGAACTTGCTGGAACCCTTCAGGGCAAGAGAAAGTTTGGTTATCTCTACTTCCCAAAGCAGCCAAGACTATACTGTCCCCGACCAGCAAGCCAACCCTGGGTTCAGAGTGGCAAGGGCGGGAAACAAATGATTTCCTAAAATAAATGCATCATCTGTAACCCATTCTCAGAAGCTAAGTTTAAATATATATATTATTCACCCAAATCAAGCTACCACTAGTAAAATACTTGGGGAAAATTGAGAAGGGGAAAAAAAAGAGGCTGTAACTCTATTTAAAAACTCTTTATATGTACCAAGAAAAAAAGAAAAGGGTATTTTTGAGCTATTTAAAAAGTGAACTTAATAGTGGTACTGTATCAGGCATGTTACATTTTTCTATAAAGTTTTCTGAGTTCTGCTATACACAAAGTCTATCTGTAATCAAGGGAAATTCCCAGAGCCGGCTTAATTAACTCAAGTCTGGCTTCTCCATCCTGAATGCTTGTTATTTCTGTACTAATGGCATCACATCCAAGGGAATGAGTTCAAAGTTGGCAGCCTTAACTAGTCCTGATAGAACTGGAGGTTTGCTTCTAAAACACATCCTTGCTGGCCAATGTGCCTTCTGACTCAGGCTTTCCCTCGGTTATAGCTTGGAAGGGAGCTCTTCCCTCCTCTGACTGGCAACACTTTCTCAAGGGTGAAAACAAGTAAACAAAAACAAGAGTCCTGGATGGTAACGAATGATCACACAGAGGGGTTTGCTCTCCGCCCAGCCAGCAGTTGGCTTCCCCTTAACCAAGAACTCATTCAAGCTAGCCCCACTGCCTGACTCAGCCCCAAGGCCATAGGCAGGAGCTGGCATATTCCTGGCTTCAGAATCACATGGTTGAGTCACAAAAATCTACCTGGCTACTGGCTGCTGCTCTGAACCACAGCCTCGCCAGACTGGCAGAGAGCAATCAAAGGATGGATGGTAACCGTTAGACAGAAGGATAAGATCCAGCCTGCAATCTAAGCTCCAGCTCATTGTTTGACCTCTATGGTGGAAATGGTAAGGTCCAAGGACCTTCCTGCGAGACTATATCGGGACGGTGGGAGAGTTTCTGGCTCCAGTCTTGAATAACTGGAGGCAAGCCTGGAAAAGCAGTGTATTTGTGTCCTGGCAGTACAACCCAGTGCCACACATGCTTTGCGTGCGATTCTCCTTTTACTTTTAGGCCCTTAAGAATCTGTCACCCCTGGAAGGAGGAGGGGCAAGACAGGAGGTCAGCTCCTCCAGGCTTTAAATACTACACACATATATGGACTATATTTACGTACATATATTTGGACCATGCTATTTATGTTATGCTTTTCAAGCGACTGAAGATGAGCCAGAGCTGGGTTTGAGTCATTCCCTCTGATGCCCATCTTCTTAAAATTGCTAAAATTTTCTGTATAAAAATACGGGCTAATGTTTAATAGGGTTTTAAAAGCATT